GGCATGTAAAAATAGACCATAATGTAACAGTACTATATACATTAGTGCTTTGTTGTTATAACATAACAATTATGTTAAATTTACAAAACTGTTTCGATATAAATTAAAACAGTTACGTGAAATTTGCAAAACTGTTTTGTTATAAATAACTATGATTTTGATAATTCTTGCACTTGATCAGTTATTGGTTACGAAACGCTTCAGTGTAGCATCACTATTCTGTTATTTCTAACCGAACTATTTTTTTATCTGCTAAATAATTGTGTGATGAATTATAGGTGTTTATTATTATCTTACTTGCAAAATTACTTTTCTACTTTAAAGTCCTGTACTTACTAACAAGATATTAGTGTAATCATAATACCCTGGTTCCCAATTCATTTTCAAATACAAATTTTATAAATTTATCATAAAATATGCACAAAACTATCTCTACAGCGCGATTCAGCGGATGTACTGAACATTTAAGAAAACACGTACTTGCAATCTGTAACCAATATTTTTGGCTAATAGTGACATTACTTTTCAGTTATTCATAGCTGTTTTTGCGCTTGCTAATAAATGACACAAAATAGTTGTTGTTAGGCCAACTCTATGTAAATAATCACCTCAAGTGTGTTTGATTATAACAATACATGGTTATGTTACAGATTATCGAAATGGAATTTGACAGCTTAAAACAAAATGGTTTAGTAGTTTTGAACTGAACTCAATTAACTGAAATTCTAATTTAAAAGTGTGAAATGCAACAGAAAAGTTGGTGTATGTGTAACTGAAATTTAATTATTAGTTAACAAAGTTTGGCTGTTCATCGGTTAGCTCGACTAGTTTTGTAAATTACTTTTTTCAGTGTAGTTTATACGCTAGAATATCAGATGCAGGTGCGACTACTGTACCTCTAGCACGAACCAATATCGAATTCGAATAGTTTGCAAACCGAAATGTCAATGTCAAATTTTGTATGGAAACGCGGCACAAAGTACGTAACGAGAACTAAAAATCAGTACCTCCAGCATGAACCAATATCGAATTCATATCGTTTGCGAGTCCGAAATGACATTGTCAAATGTGTACTGATTATAGTTCTCGTTACGTACTTTGTGCCGCTGCTTTTCAAGTTTCCGTACATATTTTGACATTTCGGACTCGCAAACGTTACGAATTCGATATTGGTTCGTGTTAAGGGTACTGTTTCAAAAACGAGTAAGAGGTAAGTAAATTTTTTAAGTAAAAATATCGGTTTTTATATCGTTTCAACACCTAATTTACTGCAACGCGATGTGATTTATTTTCGTATGGCGATAAGTTAAACCTCAAAAAGAGATATAGGTTTCGTTATTGTTTTTTTTTTTACTAAAAAAATAAGTAAACCACGTGTGATGATTAGGAAATCTCTTATGCTTTGATACCATATTATATTTGAAATATCGATTTTTATATCGTTTTAAATCCTAATTTACTGTAACGTGACATGATTTATTTTCGTATGGCGATAACTTAAACCTCAAAAAGAGATATAGGTTCCTTTATTCGTTATTTTTACTCAAAAAATAAGTAAACCGTGTGTGTTGATTAGGAAATCTCTTATGCTTTGATACCATAATATATTTGAAATATCGATTTTTAATATCGTTTTATCACCTAATTTACTGTAATATGACATGATTTATTTTTATGGCGATAAGTTAAACCTCAAAAAGATATATATAGGTTTCATTATTTGTTTTTTTTTCACTAAAAAAAATAAGTAAACCGTGTGATAATTAGGAAAACTCTTATGCTTTGATACCGTAATATATTGGAAATATCGATTTTTATATCGTTTTAACACCTTATTTACTGCAACGTGATATGATTTATATTCGTATGGCGATAAGTTAAATCTCTAAAAGAGATATAGGCTTCTTTATTGTTTTTTTTTACTAAAAAAAATAAGTAAACCGTGTGTGATGATTAAGAAATCTCTTATGCTTTGATACCATAACATATTCGAAATATCGATTCTTATATCGTTTTTACACCTGCTTTACTGTAACGTGATATGATTTATTTTTCTGGCGATAAGTTAAACCTCAAAAAGATATATGTAGGTTTCATTATACGTTTCTCTTACTAAAAAAAATAAGTAAACCGTGTGATGATTAGGAAAACTCTTATGCTTTGATACCATAATATATTGGAAATATCGATTTTTATATCGTTTCAACACCTAATTTACTGCAACGCGATATGATTTATTTTCGTATGGCGATAAGTTAAATCTCAAAAAGAGATAAAGATTTCTTTATTGTTTTTTTTTACTAAAAAAAATAAGTAAACCATGTGTGATGATTAGGAAATCTCTTATGCTTTGATACCATAATATATTCGAATTATCGATTTTTATATCGTTTTAACACCTAATTTACTGTAACGTGACATGATTTATTTCCGTATGGCGATAACTTAAACCTCAAAAAGAGATATAGGTTCCTTTATTCGTTTTTTTTTACTAATAAAAATAAGTAAACCGTGTGTGATGATTAGGAAATCTCTTATGCTTTGATACCATAATATATTGGAAATATCGATTTTTAATATCGTTTTACCACCTAATTTACTGTAACATGACATGATTTATTTTTATGGAGATAAGTTAAACCTCAAAAAGATATATATAGGTTTCATTATTCGTTTTTTCTACTAAAAAAAATAAGTAAACCGTCTGATGATTAGGAAAACTCTTTTGCTTTGATACCATAATATATTGGAAATATCGATTTTTATATCGTTTCAACACCTAATATACTGCAACGCGATATGATTTATTTTCGTATGGCGATAAGTTAAACCTCAAAAAGAGGTATAGGTTCCTTTATTGTTTTTATTACTAAAAAATATAAGTAAACCGTGTGTGATGATTAGGAAATCTCTTATGCTTTGATACCATAATATATTCGAAGCATCGATTTTTATATAGTTTTAACACGTAATTTACTGTAACGTGACATGATTTATTTTCGTATGGCGATAATTTAAACTTCAAAAAGAGATATAGGTTTCTTTATTGTTTTTTTACTAAAAAAAAGTAAACCATGTGTGATGATTAGGAAATCTCTTATGCTTTGATACCATAATATATTTGAAATATCGATTTTTAATATCGTTTTACCACCTAATTTACTGTAACATGACATGATTTATTTTTATGGCGATAAGTTAAACCTCAAAAAAATATATATAGGTTTCATTATACGTTTTTTTTCTAAAAAAATAGGTAAACCGTGTGATGATTAGGAAAACTCTTATGCTTTGATACCATAATATATTGGAAATATCGATTTTTATATCGTTTCAACACCTAATTTACTGTAACATGACATGATTTATTTTTATGGAGATAAGTTAAACCTCAAAAAGATATATATAGGTTTCATTATTCGTTTTTTTTACTAAAAAAAATAAGTAAACCGTCTGATGATTAGGAAAACCCTTATGCTTTGATACCATAATATATTGGAAATATCGATTTTTATATCGTTTCAACACCTAATTTACTGCAACGCGATATGATTTATTTTCGTATGGCGATAAGTTAAATCTCAAAAAGAGATAAAGGTTTCTTTATTGTTTTTTTTTTACTAAAAAAAATAAGTAAACCATGTGTGATGATTAGGAAATCTCTTATGCTTTGATACCATAATATATTTGAAATATCGATTTTTATATCGTTTTACCACCTAATTTACTGTAACATGACATGATTTATTTTTATGGCGATACGTTAAACCTCAAAAAGATATATATAGGTTGCATTATACGTTTTTTTACTAAAAAAAATAAGTAAACCGTGTGATGATTAGGAAAACTCTTATGCTTTGATACCATAATATATTCTTAATATCGATTTTTATATCGTTTTAACACCTGCTTTACTGTAACGTGATATGATTTATTTTCATATGGTGATAAATTAAACCTCAAAAAGAGAGATATAGGTCCTTTATACGTTTTTTTACTAAAAAAATAAATAAACCGTGTGTGATGATTAGGAAATCTCTTGTGCTTTGATATCATAATATATTCGAAATATCGATTTTTATATCGTTTTAACACCTAATTTACTGTAACGTGATATGATTTATTTTCGTATGGCGATAAGTTAAACCTCAAAAAGAGATATAGGCTTCTTTTATTGTTTTTTTTTACTAAAAAAATAATTAAACCGTGTGTGATGATAAGGAGATGATTTCAATATTTTTAGTATAAATATTTGTATGTATTGAATCATTTTATACAGTAACATTGATATCGTGACTAACAACTATTACCGGTTATTATATCTATAGGTATATGTAATTTTCTGAAATAAATGTTTTTTATAACTATTATGAGATAACCTGTTGCACATTCATACGTCTGTCCACGTTTCTTAATGGCATGCTTGCTTATAATATGTTTTAGTATTTTCTATGATTTCAATTATCATCATGAGAATATTATGAAGTAACTTCGAAAATTTACAAGTCTTTATAAAGTTTTGAAATCGAACTTATCCCAAAGTCAACCTTAAAAGAAATACCTTGAAATTGCAAACGATTGCAAACCACTGACCAAACGATATCATGTACATGCATAAACTAATAGTAATAAAAGCTGAATAGATAAGGATTTAAATATCAACATACGTATGTAAATATGTTGAACAAGCTATAAATCAAAACACTATTTTTACATTGATCAAAACGTACACATAATATATTACGCCAACGGAAAAGTGAAAATTGTTTAATTAGCTAAAATGCACAACTAATTATGCACAGAACTTAGAAACGTTCCGATAACTGACGGCCCTAATTTAAATATATCGACAAAACTGAAACGAATTATAATCGACAACGACAAAAACAAACCACTCAGATATGTCTCGACTAGTTATTCCATTTAGACATTGAAGTATTAGTAGCTATACCTGAGCATACCTCATTTGCGAGCGCAAATCACGTTACCGCTGATAATAATTACACCGGTAACGATTTTCCTCGTTTGTCGCAGCGCATGCATAAGGCTGTGTGTGCCTGCATATGTAGTTTACCTGAGAGCGGCGAGATGAGCCGGCGATGGTAGTGCGGCGGGGCCGGCGGCAGGAAGCAAGACCGCTCCGGGCCGGGCGGCAAGGGTCCGAGCTCCTGCCAGGGATCAAGCGGTGTCATCGTATGAGTGCCCATGTCGATATAACCGTGTCTATCTAGGCGGCGCGCCGGCCAGCATCGCGAGCACGCGCCGCTCCTTTCCGCCCTTACACACTCAATCGTTGCTTCGTTATTGACTGATAACACGACCGCTCCCGATGAGGTGCGCGGCAGGATTGAGCAGGAGCGGCACATCGCACGCAGCGCACGCTCACTGCCACGTGCGCTCTAGGCACGCTCTCAGGCAACGTGCACGCCCGCGCCGTCGCACACGTGCTCCTCCCCCGGCCCATCCCCGCGACACCGACTCCCTGTGAGCCTTCATCTCCCGCCGCCGCCGAACGCTACGCCGCTAAACACTCCAACCAAGGGCAACATCGTAACATGCGGGAACCTCCGCCCGCCGTCGTCGGCGTCGGTGAGTCACGTTGTCATCATAAGATTGAGCTTAGACTGCCTGGCCCGTTCGTTCATTCCTCAACAAAACTTCTTAATTGGGATAGAAACTTTTTCATTGTTTCAGACTTGAAAACGAAAACGTAATAAACCTTTTATGTAATCAAAACAATGGATAATGTTGTCGTGATTGTAAACAGAAACAAAACTGCAATCGGCTCGAATTGTATCGATGCGGTTGTATCGGTCTGTGTTGCGGCGGCGAGGCGGGTGCGGTGCTGGTAGGGTTACCCGGACCTAAATACGGAAATCCGGTAGTAACATGTTAAAAATCCTGATTTACGATCAAAAGTCCGGTCTAAGAGTAAAAATAAATAGTTCTACTTAAAAAAAATGTAGGTACAAAGGTATTATTATACATATATACCTACATATATTTAAAAAATATGAATCTCCACTAATTTTATTTTACAACTTCTAAGTTATTTATGTGGTAACTTCGCGAAAGTGAAGGTGTAATCCGAAATCCGGACGGAGTCCGGTGGAAGCTAATAAAATCCGGTCCAAACCAGATATATCCAATCAGATGGTAACCCTAGGCGCGGGTCAAAGTCACGGCCGCGGCCTCGGTGTGGCCGACCGCTAACGGCTGACGACTGCAGGCTGCTGACCGCGTCGAGAGCACCCGGTGAATAATGAACTGATAACGTACAGATTCAACGCGGAATTACAGATAATGAATTCAACGTGAAGTAACAACTAGCAAACATGCAAGAATAAGTCAATGCTTCAATGAATACTAAAGCTGATAAACAAGACAAAAGAAGTCAACAAATACTCCATTTTTAAAGATCCAATGGTGTCGATTCTAGCATCATTATTTAAACCCAAACTTAAATTTGTCAACAGTATATTTTTGTCATTCTCTATACAGAATGTAAAGGAGAGCCTGATGCTATATTTCGTTTTAAGCTTAGAGAATCATGCCAGAATTGACACCACTATATTATATTTAATCGTTAAGCGACGAAACTGACGAAGGTGATGGCTGAAAATGGGTGTTTTGCCTTAAAACTGGCAAATATTTAGCGGAGCCTTGGCCTTTTGTTTTCTGCAGCATACATATGGGTATTCATAGCCGATTTCTTGTATCTTTTCATTTTTCTTTTTAATTGTATTACTCTGAAATGTATATGTATGTTGAGAAAAAAACAAACGCAATATCTATCTAAACTTTTCTTGTTTAACGTAACGAAAGAACTAAATGAGCAACGTATCTGGAATTTGCAAATTATTTTATTGTAAGTTGTTTATTTACCGCTATTAGAGCTTCCGATAATGTCGTAAGTAAATTAAAAATACTGTTATTACCTGATGAAACTAATGCAATCAAGAACATTCTATTTGTCTTGGCTTCCGAATACTAATAAAGAGTGAATGGCCAAAAATATGTCATAATACGACTGATAAAAAGAACATTATATGCCTGTGAGATATATCGGCTTCCTTTTATTTTATAGATAGGTCCGACAAATGACTCCTCCCCACCTGATGTTAAGTGACACCGAAGTCCAGACGCGAAGATAGATGATGCAGCAGTTCTACCTGCCACACCAGCCATCCTCACCCTGCCGGCCTGTATGCCGCTACTTCACTAATCGCTAATCTTGACAACCTGGGTGTCGATTGTGCTAAGACAAAGTACTTAATAATCGTATGTCAATAGTGTTACAGTAGTTTTTTTGACGACCTCCGTAGCCGAGTGGTTTGTACGCCGGGTTTCATGGTGACGCCGACTCGAGAGGTCCCGGGTTCGAATCCCGGTGGAGCAGATGTTTGTGTGATGAATACGAGCATTTGTACTCCAGTAATGGATGTTTAATATGTATTTCTATATAAATATACTTATATATGTACAATATATGTATTCTATCCGTTACCCTAGTATGCCATAAAACAAGCCTTACAGTGCATACTTTGGGCTAGGCTAATTGGTGTGAGTGTTGGTAATATTTATTTATTCTTAGTTTTGAATTTTTACACAGTTCACAACATCAATATCACAAAAAGTTAGGCCCACTTGCAGAAATTGAAAAACTAGATTTATCTCATAAAATGATGTTAAATTGACACTGACGCTTTGACATTTTTCTTTGGGATTCTAGTTTTGATTGAATCGATTTTTTGCAAAATTGCTGTTAATGGACCTCAGTCATGCATTTAATGCACTTTTGTTTTTTTTTTTTGAGTGTGTATGCTGTCAGTCGCCAGACGACCTCTACAGCGTCACCGGGCCTGGGGACGGCGAGATCCTAAGGGTGCGGCCAGAGTGCACTCAGATTCAGATTCAGATTCAGATTCCGAAAACAAGCGCGAGAAATAAACAGTGTAGTCGAAGGGTACGGCCAGAGTGCACTCCTGATTCAGATTCAGATTCAAATTCAGAAGACAAAACGCGAGAAAAAGCAGGCAACCTGCTTAGACTACACTGTTTATTTCTCGCGCTTGTTTTCGGAATCTGAATCTGAATCTGAGTGCACTCTGGCCGCACCCAAAGGGGACCTCAAGCCGAGAATTGGCGAGTATTATACCAGGTAGATGGCATTTCCCCACGGGGGAGTCTCCACTATGCCTGGAGCCTCTAGACCACTCGAACTTGAGGGGGTCGGCTCAACTAGAGGGCGTCTTTGAGACTCGAACCTTGGCTATAGTTAGCCGTTGTCGTGGGGGGGGGGGGGGCGGGGAAAAAAGCAGGTACGTAGCAGGTACGTACCTGTACCATGGTATAGCGTGTCGTGTGTAGACCGGGTCTTCGCACTCTACTCCTACGGGTGCGGTGTCTACCTAATGCTAAACTAGTGTGCAATTTTGCTAGTTATGTAGTGTTGTTGTTTGTAGACTTTGTGGGAGGAATCGGAGGCGCGTTGGCGCGGGTGACTTCGTCGTCGGGGTACTCTAAGACGTGCCTAGGCCGACGGAATCGTAGGGACCTACGATTGGAGGACGGGAAGGCGGACGAGTTATAACTAATGGCTTAGGGGTTTCTAATACTATTTTTCGATTTAGGGATCCGTTTCTGAAATATTGAACTTTAAACAGCTAATTTTTGTTCAAACAGGGCGTCTCCCCCTCCTCTAAAAGCTTTACTGCTGGCTTAAAAAACCTTTTTTTTTTTACGTAGGTACAAAGTCTTTTTACAGACGACGGCGCTTTTAAGAGGCACACCGCCGAACGGACCTCACACCTGGCTCCCGCAAGTATTACGGACCCCCCAGTGGCTACCCACCGAGGACCCCGCAACTCTTACTCAACTTTACGGTATAATATCCGCTAAAAAAGTCCTGCGAATACCTCTACACTGCTTAGCGCGAAGCCGCGGGATCCCCGTTTAGGGAGTCTACCACGGCTCCACCCCCAGCAGCTTCCCGGCCTCGCCGGGGCTCCACGGCAGGGGTCTCCCGCGGTATTTTGGGGACCCCGCAGACGTGCGCAGGTAGATTTGTTGGTTTGAGAGTAAATAGTCTTTCAACTTTGGTTAGTAGTTGAAAATTCCTGAGAAGAGAACATTAAAAGTGAGATAGATGAAGTTATTGTACCTTAAAAGCTTGCAATGCAACAAAATCTAAAAAAAACTATTTAAAACTACAATAAAATATCATCTGTTCCACAATGCTACCGCGAGTACCAACGGCAACGGCTTCTGAGTCGCACTGACGTTACGTTTATATAAAAAGATCGTTTCAGATGAAGATTGTAAGCCTTTCTGGCCATAAACATGAACTACGGGTGTGTTTTAGTCAGTAAGAGTCTGACATAACCTTGCAGCCGGCTGTGGGTATCTAAGAGGATTTCACACCCGCCACTCTGGGGAGGATCGAATTGATTATGAGATGCAGTTGGATTTTGATTTAAGAATTTTAGTTGAGATACAAAGATTGCTATTAATTGGTTTTTCTTATTACCAATATAGAAAATAAAGACTTCTGCTCAATAATATTGTGGTAACTACAGGCAACTGCGGAACCGTACACTGCGCGTGGCACGACACGCACTTGGCCGGTTTTTTATTCTTTAAGGATCATGACAAAAATGCATTGTTGTCAAAAAAAAATTATGGTTTAGAGCAGCATCAATTTTTAAGTGACATCTTTTTTTTGTGTTATAGAGGGCATACGAGCAGAAGGCTCACCTGATGGTAAGTGATCACCGTCGCCCATGGACACTTGCAACACCAGGAGTATCACAAATGCGATGCCGGCCTTTAAGGAAGGATTACGCTACGCTATTGGTCCGGAAACACTGCTGGCGACAATATATTCCACAGTTTTGTCGTACGTGGTAAAAAATTTGACACAACGCACGGTTGTGGATAGCCACACATCAAGATGATGATGATGACGTCTCTAAACGTGGCTTTTAAGGTATCAAATATTGTAGCAATTAAATTTAATAACGTTAAAAACTTAGCAATATAATTCTTAAATATTAAGTCGTAGAAATATTATTATTTATTCAGCGCCATCTATCATCATGCATATAAATTATTCAATATCGAAATCCACTTTGAAAAGCAATGGTCAAGTACAATATATGTGTGAACCTAGTAGTTGCATTTGGAATGTAAGTTAGAGGGAGCTAGTGTGTAATTTTTTAAATGAGATGCGGAAATGGATGTGACGTCACATTAATGTTCTGGAAACATTGAAAGGCGGAGTCAGCAAAACCGGTCCGTTGGCTTCCTCATACCAAATATGGTGATATGAGTGAAATTTGCAATGACGCTGTCACGTGTTGTAGTAGCCTATAAATAGCAGTGCACAAACAGATTCGCTCTCTTTTGGCTGATAGAACCTTGAAGACCATACTTAGAAAATAGCATTAAGACTAGCAGTGGTAGTCAGTGCATTATATACTTGTTATTTCTCCCCGGATTAACGGGTAAGTTCAATACATTTGATTCGTTAGGCTGTAGGTCCAGTTAGTTTTTTTATTGAATTATAGAAAAATATGTAATTGGTTCTAGGTCCATTAATTTGGCTAATAAATAACAGTAATAGTCACATTTACTTGATCCTGATTGGAATCTCCTTGGAAATATATATATATATGAGCCTGTGAAGCCTCCTTGAGCAAAAAAGTGACGTATTCACGTGATGACAGCAAGTCCTGCTTCATCCCTGAGGACATTTGAGTGATCCTGATGCTCCCATGATCTTGCCAAGCTAAGTAAAACTTATAACTTCTTGATATTTAACCAGTGCATACTCCGGAGAACAATTTCTGTTTAACGTGATAAAGGATTTCTATTGGTAAACTGTAAAGCCATTATAAGTACATAACAAATTTTTATTGTTAAATTTTTAAAACTTAGTATTTTATAACTTGTTTAATAATTTGTTTATATAAGAAACTTAAATTGAGTATTACTGTATTAGCACAAGATCTTGAATGTTTGAATAGCTATAAATCAAAAGAAAAATCTTTGAAGAAATATAACTATGTATTTTTAACTTGAATGTGACTAGTATTAAGTTTTAACCATGATGAGATAAGATCTGAACCTTTTTTAACAATATAGTATCTTGTTCACTGCGGTTTTAGACATTTTCATTTATCTCCCTCAAATCACAGTATCACGGCGCCCTGATTTTAAATTAAATAAGTTTCGAGTCTCATGTAAGCCCTGAAATAGTCGGTGGTAACTAAAATTGTTACAAAATGGCGACCAACTTTAGGGCCGAGCAATAAAATACTGTATTTGAGGGAAATACTAATGTGTTAATATGATGATAAAAAGATTGGTGGAAAAATTTAATGCTTAAAATCCCCAATCAGTCTGAATAGCACATTAGAAGTAAATTACTTAATAACTTAAAAAACTTTAATAAACAATACTTTTGGAACACTAGTGTGTCTAAATGATGATAAAAAAAAAGGTAGGTGGAAACATAGATGCTTAAATCCCCAACCAGTCTGAAAAACACACTAGCATTAATTAACTTAGCACATTAGAATTAATCAACTTATACTACAATAACACTTTCGTATTGATTGGATGCGTAAAAAATTGACCTTGAACAGTGAACAAGATAGTCTTTAAGAATTGTAACTTGTAATAATAAAAGTACCCTCCTTCAAAAAAAAAAAAATTTTATAAATTCCTTTGTATTTAACTTTCTTAGATTAAATAACTTGAATAAGTAGCTTGATTTAAAAACTTGATTAAACGTAATTTAATAATTAACTTGATAATTAACTTAGTAACAGAAATAACTGACTTTAACTTGAAAAAATCTGAGAAAATGCTCTCTATACAAAAATATGTAAACTACTTAAGAAAGGATGAAATCATATATGAATTGGATATTCTTGGCATTTCCACAGCTCCGGACACATCGGTGGATGCACTGAGAAAGCAGCTTCGCCAAATTTTTAAGCTGAAGAGACGTGGCAGCATCAAGTGTGCTCCAGTGATCACACCACTCCCGGCAAGCGAGCTCAAGGCATGTACGCCGAAAATTGCTGAGCTCGAGGATCTGCTGTCATCAGGTGACCTCGG